TTTTTGCAAAATTTTAAGGAGATCTCGCGTCAACGTCGCCGTGCTTCCTCCACAGCGAGCTCGCAGATCTCCAACGGCGAACACCAACGTACCAGCCTAGTTGGATCCAAATCCTGAGGTAGATGTTGGTCCCCGCCAGAGACTTGTTGTTCTTCATGAAAGGCAGGCCCATGTTGAACGCCCAGATCACGTACTCCTCCTTGGTGACGCTTTCCCTGTCCGCCCTGAACTTGCGAGTGAAATGCTTGGCCAGGTCCTTGAATAGCTCTTTGTCTATCTGGGGCGTCAGAGAGACGATCGTAAAGATCATACACAAGGCTTTGTTGATGATTCTCCTGTCAGGGAATCCATGTTAGATGCTGGAAGGAATCGTTTTCATTGTCATACATCCGAAGGTATAGAGTCTTTTCAGGGAGTGTGGGGATGGGAATTAGGAACGGCTCCTTGTGGTCTCTGCAAGAAGGAAAAGATTCAGTTCCAGTAAGATATTGTCAAGAACGGCAAAGAACTTACGGATCATCGTACAGGAGGAGTGCTGCGTTGCTACTGCGGCTAGCCGCGGGATTGTTGACACTCCCACTAGCAGCGGGATTGCTGGTACCTCCGCCACTGCTCTTCCCGGGATTGCTGGTACTGCAGCTAGCGGGATCGCTCTTACTGCCGCCACCACTGCTCTTTGCGGGCTTGCTGGTACTGCCGCTTGCGGGATCACATTTATTGCCACCACCACTGCTCTTGGCGGGATCGCTTTTACTGCCGCCACCACTATTCTTCTTTTTCGCGCCTTTCTTCCTGGAAAAAAACATTATACGATCTATAGGACCAAAGTTTAAAACGAACAAGAGGCCGGAAGGAAGAGGCAAAGAGCTAGGAAGGCAAAGGGACGGGAGGAGGATTTGATACCGAGCCGCATTCCAATATTTCAAAGGACGGATTCTCCTATCGGGAGGCATCCCCCGTGCTGCCCGATCAAATCTGTCCGATAGAACGATTATAGCAAATGCGAGCATTTATTCTGGCTTTGCGCATGCCGATCGGCTGAGGGAAGGCAAGAATCTGGCAAGCTTCATGGAGCGCAAGAATCTGCTCAGAAAGGAATGGTAGAGAAAATTTCCAGAGTACATCGCAGGAAGACATCGATGAGATCTAACCTTCTGCCCATCCCCATCCCGTCCAAAAAGACACGAGCTTGGAGGAACCCTCAGATTTTAATATACGCTTCGCTCCTTTGATATCTAGCATTCTTTTCTGTACTGTGCACGAAGAGGCATCTTGTGCCATGCACCCCAAAGTGGGCATTTGCTGGAATCGCTTTTCCAACACTGGAGTTTGACAGTCAAAATTAAACACTGACTGGAATATTTTATATATTTATCAAAATTCTTCACTAAAGAAGTCATGAAACAACATAATCCAACACAAGAAGAAATTAGTGGCTCTAACATTTCCCAAAAGGCAAAGAGAAATTGTTGGTTTCAGAATGCAAACGTATGGAACCATGACATCCTGAAGCATTTGCTGAACTGCTTTTCGAGCTCTAGAACACTTCCAAGTATTCATAAAAAAATTCTAAAACCATCCAACAACAATTTCGAGATTCGAACTCAACCTTTTACGTATGTATTGAATATTATTTAGGGCTGCAGTTTGATCAATTCGCATTTCGCAAAAGGAATTTTCAATTAACAAGATGGTTCCAGCGAGTTTCGAACTCGCGGCCTTTTGCGTGTAAAGCAAACGTGATGACCACTACACTATGGAACCATGATGTTGCTTGTAAGCAAGGTTTTCCCGCTAAGTGCTAGCTAAGCAGCGGCGCTAACAAAGTGCTCCAACCATGTGAGATTTAAGTGTCGGTGGGGTAAAGGTGAAAGAATGCGCGTTATTTGGATCGTGCCTTTAACCGAAACGGGCAACAGAGATAAAATAGATTAAAAAGGAAGAGGACACGTAGCGATATAAAAGCTACAGCCCTGCTTACTGTTCTTCCCTCGCTATCGCTCGTCCATCGCCTAGCATCTTGATCTCGAGGTAAGCAAGCGCCCGGATTCGCGACCGCGGGCCTTGGGGATCGATTGGAGGTCTAAATCGCCGGATTTTGCAGGGATTTCGGGCAATGGCGTTCATTCTCCTCCATGGAACCCTCCATGCCACGATCTACGAGGCCTCGGACCTGGAGCACGATCACAGCGCCGGGGGTTTCTTCAATAAGGTGTGCTATCTCGATCGATCTAGAGCCAATTTTCTGCGGCCGTGATCTAGGCCTAGCCAGATCCCAAATCTTGTCCAAGATTTCTTCTTCTTTGGCACATTTCTTTGGAGTTCTTGCGCTATTGATCATCCTTTTTTTTCCCTTGCTCCAGATTATCGGAGGAATCACTGGCGATGGCTCACACAAGTTCTATGCCACGGTCGATCTGGAGAAGACTCGCGTGGGCCGGACGCGCATGATTGGAAAGGGCGAGTCATGGAACGAGAGCTTCCACATTTACTGCGCACACAATGTTTCCAAGGTGGTGGTGACCATCAAGGACGACAAGGCCATCGGGGCGGTGCTCCTGGGCCGAGCTAGCATCGAGGTCTCGGAGCTCCTCAGCGGCGAGACTGTGGAGAACTGGTATGATCTCTACGACGACAACGGTGAGAAGCGTGGCGACTCCAAGGTCCGGATCAAGCTCCAGTTCCACGAGGCCACCAACGATCCTCGCTTTGGCCGAGGACTTTGCGATGGAAGGAAGTTCCAGGGTGTGCCTTTCACGTACTGCCAGCAGCGGAAGGGATGCAAGGTGACACTCTACCAGGACGCTCATATGACCGAGAACTTCCTGCCCGATATCAAGCTCGCGGGTGGTGGGAAGCATGCCGAGACCAGGTGCTGGGAGGACGTCTTTGAAGCTCTCACCAATGCCAAGCACCTCATCTATATCACCGGCTGGTCCGTCTACACCGAGATCAAGCTCATCCGAGATCCCGAGAGGCAAATCCCCGGCAGCTCTGGCGTCACTCTCGGCGAGCTTCTCAAGAGGAAAGCCGAGGAGGGAGTTCGTGTGCTCATGCTGGTGTGGGACGACAGGACGTCGATTCCCATCGTCAGGATGGACGGGCTCATGGCAACTCACGACCAGGAAACTCTCGACTACTTCAGGGGCACGCAGGTCAAGTGCTTGCTGTGTCCGCGCAATCCAGACGACGGCTTGAGCGTGGTGCAAGAGTTCCAGATCGGCACCATGTTCACTCACCACCAGAAGACCATCATTGTCGATTCTCCTCTCCCGGGAGCTCAGGGTGATTCGCAGCAGCGAAGAATTGTCAGCTTCGTGGGAGGGATCGACCTCTGCGATGGACGCTACGACAACCAGTACCACTCGCTCTTCCGGACGCTCGATTCCTACCATGGTGACGACTTCCACCAGCCAAATTTCCAGACCGCGAGCATCAAGAAGGGAGGGCCGAGAGAGCCGTGGCATGACATCCATTCCAAGCTCGAGGGGCCGGTTGCCTGGGACGTCCTCCACAACTTCGAGCAGCGGTGGCTGAAGCAGGCGGACGAGAAGGACTTGCTGCTGCCAATAAGAGAAGTCAGCGACATCGAGCCCCCGGCCGAGGTGACTTTCCGGGACGATCCCTCGACATGGAACGTTCAGCTGTTCCGGTCTATCGACGGTGGTGCCGCGGCAAACTTCCCCGAGGATCCAGAGCTCGCGGCCAAGGCTGGGCTTGTGAGCGGCAAAGACAGCACCATCGACCGCAGCATCCAGGACGCCTACATTCATGCCATCCGGCGAGCAAAGGACTTCATCTACATCGAGAACCAGTACTTCCTTGGGAGCTCGTTTGCGTGGGACACTGACACCGACGCCGGTGCGTACCACTTGATCGCCAGAGAGCTGGCTCTCAAAGTCGTCAACAAGATCGAGCAGGGCGAGCGGTTCGTCATCTACGTGGTGGTTCCAATGTGGCCTGAGGGACTCCCCGAGAGTGGACAGGTGCTCGCCATCCTCGACTGGCAGAAGAAGACGCTGGACATGATGTACAGGTCGATTGCGCAGGCTTTGGACGCCAAGGGGATCACCGACGAGAGTCCAAAGGACTACCTCACTTTCTTCTGCCTGGGAAACCGAGAGACCCCGCAAGACGGCGACTACGTCCCGCCGGAGGCCATCGAGGAGGAGGCAACGAACTACAAGGCAGCACAGGAGCACAGGAGGTTCATGATCTACGTTCACTCCAAGATGATGATCGGTAAGTCTTCCAGCCTTTTCGTTTTCTTTCCACGCTCAAACTTTCACGGTCGAGTCCATAGTCATAGTTTTTGTTCTAGTACACTTGACTGACTAGACTTTCTCGTAACAGTGGACGACGAGTACATCATCGTCGGGTCGGCCAACATCAACCAGCGCTCCATGGACGGCGGCCGCGACACGGAGATCGCCATGGGAGCGTACCAGCCGTTCCACACGTGTCACCACCACGCTCCTCGCGGCGACGTCCACGGCTTCCGGATGTCGCTGTGGTACGAGCATCTCGGCAAGCTGGACAACGCGTACCTCCACCCCTCGAGCTTGGAGTGCGTGAGGAAGGTGAACGAGCTCGCGGACGAGTACTGGGCGATGTTTGCCGGCGAAGAGGTGGTGGATCTCCCCGGGCATTTGCTGAGCTACCCGATTGGAATCACGACCACTGGAGAGGTTTGCGAGCTTCCGGGGCGATCGCAGTTCCCGGACACCAAGGCCAACATCCTGGGAGCGAAGTCGGATGTTTTGCCACCTATCTTAACGTCTTAGAGTGGTGTGATCTTAGAACTCTATGTTAATTTTTAAAGTCAACTATCGATTAAAGTACAAAATAATCGACATGTCAATAAGTCCTAACCCTAATGTAGTCAAGTCAAAAAGCCCGAATATACTAGTTGACTTTGACGAAGAGAGTTCTACTTTGAACTGACCAACATGCCGGTCAACTCACGATATACCTTCTTTAAAGAATGCAGAAGGGAAGATAGAGGTCACTGGGATGTTTAGTTTCTTCTTCTTCTAGCTGGGCCTCCCTCCAGCGATGGCGGGATTCCTGGCGCTCATCCTCTCCAGCTTATGGGTTCTTCTCCTCTTGGGCGGCTGCCATGGAGAGGAATTGGAATTCGCGACGAGCGTGGACACCTCCGACATCGCGGCTCTCCGCTCCTTCGCCACCCACATCCGCCACGACCCCAGCGGCGCGCTGCGCTCCTGGCGCCGCGACGAGGAGGCTTGCACCGCCTGGAGCGGCGTGGAGTGCTCGTGGATCCACGGCAGCCAGGGATTCCGCGTCGTCTCCATCCGGCTGCCCAAATCTCTCCTGGAAGGTGAGCTCTCCCCGCGGCTGGGGCTCCTCTCGGAGCTCCGCGTGCTGGATCTGTCCGGCAATCGTCTCTCGGGCCTCATCCCGGACGAGATTGCCCAGCTGCCCAAGCTCCGCTCCATCGATCTCTCCAGCAATCGCCTCGTGGGTCGGATCCCTACTGGGAATGGGAATGGGAATGGGAATTCCCTGCGCAGCGCCGCGGCATTCGCTGGGAATCCCGGCCTCTGTGGCTGGCCCTTAGATCGCGAGTGTCCTCCATCCTCGATCATCACCACGAAGAAGCACTATTCCAGTGCCCGGCGAGCGCTCCTCCAGGACGGCGCTACAGCTCCATCGCCATCGCAATCGCCGACCCCTCCGAGCTCCAATGGCAGCGAAGCTCCATCGCCCAGCGCCGCCCCGGCAGGGTCACCCCCGCGGCACAAGGGGCGCAGCAGGGCGCGGCGGTGGGGCATCGGCGCGGCGCTGGGCGTGCTCGCCGGCTCGGTCTCGGGCGTGCTCGTGGGCATCATCGCGCGCGCGGGGATCATCATCTACAAGCGCGCGCGCGCCAAGAACGGTCCCATCATCTTCTTCCACAAGCTCACGCCCAAGATGCTCGCCTTCCTCGATTCCCCAGAGTCCTTCCAGCAAATGCCCCTCCTGGGCGCCGGCGGCGCAGGCAAGGTCTACAAAGCCGTGCTTGAGGGCGGCATGGAGGTGGCGGTCAAGCGAATCCCGATCCAGCCGCCCGAGCCGCCGTCGTCGTCCGATGGCTCGCGATCCAGCGGCAAGGGCAGCTTCGGCAAGCGCCACACGCTCGCCGAGATGGAGACACTTGGCAAGATCCGCCACGTCAACCTCGCGTGGCTCTACGCGTACATACTCAAGCCCGACGCCCACCTCCTCCTCTACCAGTACATGCCGCGCGGTAGCCTCCAGGACGTGCTGGCCCGGGTCCGCGACGGCGCGATGGAGCTCGAGTGGTCCGCGCGGCAGCGGATCGCCACCGGCATGGTGCGCGGGCTTAAGTACCTCCACTTCGATTGCAGCCCAAAGATTCTCCACCGCGACCTCAAGACGAGCAACATCTTGCTGGACGAGGAGCTGGAGGCGCACCTGGGCGACTTCGGGCTGGCCAAGGCGCTGCCCGACGGCATGACGCACGTCACGACGCAGGTGGCGGGCACCATCGGGTACATCGCGCCCGAGTACCACCAGACATGCAAGTTCACCGTGAGCAGCGACGTCTACAGCATGGGCATCGTCCTCGGCGTGCTCATCAGCGGCCGCGAGCCCACCGACGAGTTCTTCAAGGATTTCCCCGGCGGCATCGTGCCGTGGATGTGCTACCTCGTCCAGAGCGGCCAGGAGCTCAAGGGGATCGACCCGACACTGCTCAAGCCAGCAGCGCGAGCAGGAGAAGAAGGTGGCGGCGATGATACTCTCGGCCAAAACCCGGCATTTGCGAATCTGGACGAGATAACCGAGATGAAGCGGGCGATGCGAATCGCTTGCTTGTGCACCAAGTTGAATCCACAGGACCGCCCCTCCACGAAGGACGTGCTCGTCATGCTCAACCCAGGGAAGCTGGAGAACGTCCGTCCCATGGAGGAGCTCCTGCGAGATGGATGAGAGGAGAAAAACTAAACGATACGTACTTGGAAGCTGTGAGCTCAGGAAAGCTTTTCATCATCAACTTTATACGTACGTGGAAGCTGTGAGCTCAAGAAAGCTTTCATTAAAGTGTGGCTTTCCCATTAAGAACAAGTATGAAACAAACATTATATACGTACTTGGTGACGAGCGAGCTTATTCTTGAACTTCAATCACAAACTTCTCAATGAGAAATCAAACCAAGAATTACGTACTTGGTGTGTTGGTCTTCCTTCGTATCAGGGTCCGGCGATCACACCAGCCTGGCGAGACTTCTTCGTCTCAACCGGGCTGCTGTTAAACGTAAACACCCACCAGCATGATCGTCTCCAGGACACTCCGTCCTCGTTTAAAATATGAGTATTTTTTGTTGGCTCGTCCGAGGCTTTGACCAGATCACACTCCCCTCGTTGACTAAAGCTTGACTTTTACTGTACACAGTCAAGCTTTTCTTTTACTTAGTCGCCTTATACTTGAAGCGATACGCGAATGGAAGATAGAAGAGAAAGTTGACGACGCTGAGCGCTACCAAGAGCCAAAAGAAGTAGTCAATGTGGCCATGGTTGAGGTTGTCGGCGATCCATCCGGGCTTCCCATCCCTCCGGGTGATCTTGGTGACTATGGTCACCAGCAAGCTCGAGAGGTAGTTCCCGAGCGCCACCGTCGCCAGCGACAGCGCCGAGCCCAAGCTCCGCATGGCGTCGGGCGACTGCTCGTAGAAGAACTCGAGCTGCCCGATGAAGGTGAACACCTCCGACGCCCCGATGATGAAGTACTGGGGGATTTGCCAGAAGATGCTGAGCTGCGCGTTGAGGAGCTTCGGGAAGTTCTTGTCGTCGGCATCCACCAGGCCTTTCTCCCTCGCGACTCGCAGACGCTGGATCTCCAGGACCGCCGCCACCACCATGGAGATCGTGGAGATGACGAGACCGATTCCCATCCTCTGGAGCTGCGTGAATCCCTGTGGATGGCCGGTGTACTTGCGGACGAAGGGGACGAGCAGGCGGTCGTAGATCGGGACCAAGATCAACACGCTGAGCGGGTCAAACATGGAGAGCGATGCCGACGGGACCTTGAAGGTGCCGAGGATGTAGTCCATCTTGAGGCCTTGCACCACGAACAACGTCGACATCTGAGCATAGACTGTGGAGAAGACGATGACGCTGGCCCAGATAGGAACGATTCGTAGCAGGATCTTCACTTCCTCGACTTGAGTGACCGTGCAAAGATTCCACTTTGTCGTCGGTCTGGACTTGTCCTCGATCGCTGCCTTGTCCAGGAAACTTTCAAACCGAAAGTCACAAGAACTTAGAACGAAGCGAAGCCCGCAAAAATATATAAGGAGCACTTCACCTGTATTCTGCTGTGTGCTGGATTTTTCGGCTCCCTTCGATGGCGGACGCCTTCCCGTCGACCTCGTAGAGCATGGTCTCGTCGGCTGGAAGACGTAGCCTCCAGTTCCGGATGGCTGCGACGATAACTTGAGCGATCCGAGTGAGCGGACTTCCTCCTGGTTTCTGGTGCCTGTACTGCTTGGACCCGATGAAGAAGCTCACAATGGCTATTCCCATTGCTGCTGCCGGTATGCCAAATCCCCAGGCCCAGTTGACGCTTTGCTGGATGTAGACGAGAAAGGTGCTGGCGATCATGGCACCGACGTTGATCGAGAAGTAGAACCAGTTGAAGAAGACAGTCATATACTTCTTCTCCGAGGGGTCTTCGTCGTCAAACTGGTCTGCTCCAAAGGTTGAAACGCAAGGCTTGATTCCACCAGTGCCCAGCGCTACCAGATAGAGAGCCAGATAGAATGATCCGATCTGACCAGGCGAGGCCCCAGGACAAACGTCCCCCACACAAGATGGTGGTTTTAACGATGGAACTGACGCTGATAACGTGAGCAGAACCATTCCCTGTAAGAAAAACGAACTTTTAGCTGCGAAGCTATGAAAGTCGAGAAAGAAGAACTTACCACAAAGTATACAGAAGAGAAGGCAGCGATCGTCCAGTAGCGACCGAGGTAGGCATCGGCCAAGAAAGCTCCTATGAGAGGAGTGATGTCACAAGTTCCAGACCAGTTCGTCACATTGGTCGATGCAGTCGCGTTGTGCTGATGGAGTTTGTCGGTCAGAAACACCACCAAGTTTATGGACATTCCATAGTAGGCAAGCCTCTCACAGCATTCGTTTCCTGTTCAAGGCAAGATCAAGCAAGATATCAAAAAGTTTCGTTTTTTTGTTGCTCACCCAAGATATAAGGACACGCTTTCCAGCCGCCGGTAGTTCTCCTATCAGCAGGATTGTTCTTCCAATCCACAGTGCCGTCCTTTGTGATGAAGCTCTCTTTCTCCAGATCTTCGCCATTTTCAAGATCCTTACAAAGGCGAAAGCACCAATGTGTCTTCCATTCTCCTTAATTTCTTCCAAGAGAAATTCCTCACCTTGGTAGTGCTAGCGTCGGCGACGGTGCTCTCCTCCATGGCTCCCATCCCTTTCCACTCACACACGAAAATTTGGAACTTTCAAGGGAGCTTTAGAACCAGAGTTTCCAGCCTCGATTCTGGTCTAAAGTTTTCTCGATCGCTCATCTGGCGAACCGGACGACACATTTGGCGCCGTATGGCGACGATGAGATGGTGATGCGTCTTTTAATCCTCTCCTGTGGCTCCAATAGTCCAAAAGTCCTCTCCCGGGTCAAACCCGCGATCCAGACTCCGGAGTCTCGCCCACGGCATTGGCGCCTTTCGACCGATCCACAGGAGCTCAAGGGGATCGACCCGACACTGCTCAAGCCAGCAGCGCGAGGAGGGGAAGAAGGTGGCGGCGATGATACTCTCGGCCAAAACCCGGCATTTGCCAATCTGGACGAGATAACCGAGATGAAGCGGGCGATGCGAATCGCTTGCTTGTGCACCAAGTTGAATCCACAGGACCGCCCCTCCACGAAGGACGTGCTCGTCATGCTCAACCCAGGGAAGCTGAAGAACGTCCGTCCCATGGAGGAGCCCCTGCGAGATGGACGACAGAAGCAAAACTAAACGATACGTACTTGGAAGCTGTGAGCTCAGAAAAGCTTTCATCATCAACTTTATACGTACGTGGAAGCTGTGAGCTCAAGAAAGCTTTCATTAAAGTGTGGCTTTCCCATTAAGAACAAGTATGAAACAAACAGTATATACGTACTTGGTGCCGAGCGAGCTTATTCTTGAACTTCAATCACAAACTTCTCCTGGAAAGAAATGAAAAATCATACAAAGAATTACGTACTTGGTGTGTTGTTCTTCCTTCGTATCAGGGTCCAGCGATCACACCAGTCTGGTGAGACTTCGCCTCAACCGGGCTGCTGTTAAACGTAAACATCCCCTTGAGTACCAGCATGATCGTCTCCCAGCTCTCCACCAGCGGCAGCAGGATGATCACCACCGAGCCCACGGTCCCCCACACGATGGCGATCACGGCCCAGAACGTGAAGTATTCCAAGCTAAACTCCTTGGCCGGAAGTGACGCCAAGGGCCACAGCACTGCTATCAGCAGAGTGAACCCCACGCCCCACCGAATGATCCACTTTCGAGCGTGTTGCAGCTTCGCTTCGCTGAGTTCCTCCTCCGAAACCTCCGGTTTGTCGTCGACCTCCACCATGGTAATGTTCTTGGTGGTGTCCCAGGTGTAGCTCTCGGGCTGTAAGTAGCTCAGCAAAGCGTGGATAGCACCGCCGGTGAGTATGGACACCAGGTTCCCAGCCAGCATTGGTGCGTTCCTGCCTGTGGTGTCCAAGTTCACGCGTCCATACTCGGCCTTGGTCACTGAAAGCCATGTCGTCACCCCGGCTATACATCCCACTATAGTTCCCGCGATCGCACCCTTCGCGTTGGCCTTGCTCCACAGGAGAAGGAAAGCTATCGGCATCACCGCAGAGCCAACCATGACTCCCATTGCGAGGTACATCCAGCCGAGCGAGACGCCAGCCTTGTTCAGAGCCACGGCTAAAACTCCCATGAAGCATCCAAAGCTGAGAACCACGAGCCTCGAGACTCTCAAGATCTGCTTCCCGGTCGCCTTGGGGTTGATGTATGTCCGGTAGATGTCATACGTGCACAGCGACGACACTGCTACGAGCTCCGAGGATCCCGCGGAGGTGACGGCCCTGGTAGAACACAAACGTAAAAGAGAATGTGTGAGATATATAAAGAAGGAAGAGAAGCTACGTACATGAAGAGCATGGTGAGCAGTAGGATGGCACCACTGTTTCCCATGAGAGCAGTGGCCGTAGCCGGCGGCACAAGTCCATGGCCAGCCTCACTTGCCGTGAGTGGAAGATCCAGCGCAAGAGCACCAAGTCCAAGTGACGTTGCCAGCGAGAAAGGGACCGCGAACCAGACCAGGCCTCCCAACAAGTAACCTTTATGAGTCGACGAAGGCCGGGCGGCTATAGCGCTCATCCAGTAGCCCTGTACGGAGTTGACAAATCTCTAGAGGTCAGATAAGAATCTAAACGTCAACTTACGTTGTCAACGAAAACTGTGCCAAAGTTTCCCACGATGTTGATGATCCCAAAAACGAGGCCGCCGGAGCTGAGCATTGTGACATATGACCCGCCATAGTTGCCGCTTACCGGACCACAGGCCTGGCCTGCGTGTGAGAGAGGCTCACTGCAGATTCTCTCCTTGCTCGCGGCTGCCACAAGTTTGCGATAAACATCGCTAGGGCTTCCCAACTTGCTGCTTGACGTGTAGACAAGGTAGACGAATATGACAAGCACGACGTGAACTACAGAGCACAAGCGAGTGTCAAAAACAGATAAGAGCAATGAACCGGTCTTACCGATTACAGAGTGAATGTAGCTAGCCAGAAACGTTGCTTTCAATCCTCCGGCAAGAGTGTAAACGATCACTCCAAGAGGTATGAGGAAGCTTGCCGCATATATGTCGACTCCCGTAAGAGCATTCACTACTGCGGAGCCACCTAGCAGCAACATTGCCGTGACGATTACATTGGTCAGGAAACAGAAGCAAAGAAACACCATATGAGCTTCAAATCCCCATCTGCAAAACCAGAATCTTGTTTTTTTTATCAGCTTCTGATCCTAGCAACTAAAATGGAAAAGTCCACCTTGCGCGCACGATTTCGCAGACCGTGTGAGCCGAAGGAGCTTTTCTTTTTATCTCAATTGCGATGATTCCAAAGAGCAGAACCTGCAAATAGAAAACCATGCTGTGATCTCTCAACCAGTCAACTATCTAGCTTACCTGAATGGTAGCCCCACTGGCATACCAGAACGGGCCACTGACACCGTATTCCCAGGCAACATTCGAGCTTTGCAAGATTGTTGCTGCCCAAGTCCACTAGAACACGAGCAATGAGCACTGAGCTCCAACACTGAATAGTGACGAGCAAGCTCCAGACCTGAGAAACGATCACACTCGCAATGAGACCCGTCTTGATGCTTCGACCGGCTGTGTTGAACCACTCGGAGGTGTGCTTGGCTCCAATATACCGCTTCTCCAGCCAAACCTGTGGAATTACGATCAAGACATCAGCCTGGAACTATAATGCACTCAATAGTTACCAGAAACGAAGTGAAGAACGCAAAAAACGCTCCAAATCCAAGAACAACACCATATCCCACGCCTTGGCTGAGCGAAGGGCGGTTGCCAAAGTAGCTACTCTGGCGCTGGCATTGCCCGTTCACTGTCACATAGTAATCAGCTGCCCATGCTAGAGGCGGACACTGATCGGCCATAACCAATAGGCCCTAGAGAACTTCCTCCCTCTCGAAAACAAGACAATCCAAAAGTCCCGGGAGAATCAAGACTTTTGGGGATCTTTGAATACGTATAATATATAAAGTCCGAGACCAAAAGCTACATCTGGATCAAAAAAGGCAAAGTTAGTAGTAGATCGAGTAGAAAGAGCTCACGAAAATATTTAGCTTTAGCTTCTGCGAGCTCGCCAACTTCTGCTCTTGATGGACGAAACTATGTCGAGCGATCTGTCCATATGATCGCGAGTCTTGCTATGGTGCTTGAGACCTTCCACTGTGAAGCAATCGATCTCACATAACCGGCACCAAGCTGGGCTGATAGAGTTCCTCCCGCGCTCCTGTTAACAAAGCAACAAGCCTCATCACACATCGCCACACATCACCAAGTCGTGAAAGCACTAAGAACACTTACAGGCTCGTGGTATTCCACGGACGAAGTTGAGAGCTTTGCTGTTCTCGACTTCTTGGTTCTACGCGGCGCTGGCTCGGACTCCAAGGGCGAGTTTAAGCGCCTCCAAAGCTCGGGATCACTGATCACCTTCCTTCGCCCGTGAGGCGATGCTGGCACCGAAACTTTGCAGCCGCGAAGAGCTTCGTGCGGCGAACATCGTTTCGTGCAAGCAGAGCTACCAGGGGAATGCTCGAAGACACGATCTTGACTGGGTGGGATCGTCGGGGGACTGGGGTGTCGACAACAGACGTGCTGCTGCCTCGGAAGAGAAACGGAGCCCGAGACGCTTCCGGAGAAAGTATCGTCGATCTGAGGACAAAGCTGTGGCGGAAGCTCTCGACGAGAAGGAGCTCCATTCCGCTCGGCGGCGACGCCATTTCGATGCTGGTGGGAATGCGGGCAGCGATACCGGTCAGGGGAAAGCTCTTGCTGCAATGGTTGCGATGGATGGAAAAGCTGCTCCTTATACGGCTGTGGCGAGGAGTAGAAAGGACTCGGCTTCGCAACCGGCCGTGACGAAAGCTTCAGGCACAGAAAGAACGAAGTTTTGAGAGCGAAAGAACTCCAAGAAAAAGAGAGAGCTTCTTACATTGCAGACTTGAAAGTGTTCTTGGACATGGTCGTAAGTCATGTGGCTTCCACAGAGATTGCACCGCACAGGAAGAACGGTGAAGCCCTCTCCGGATGGCCACATCGCTGCGAAGATCAAAGCGCTGATAAGAGAGGGGGAAACGAGAAACCATTGATTCAAGCTAGCTGCCGGCGAATCGAGAAAGCAGAGACGAGATATACCTCCGCGCAAGAAAAAATCTCACTGCGAGCACCACCGATTTATACTTCGTAGAGAGATCGCGCCGAGAATCTGCGAAGATCGATGCAATGTAGCGCGCCGATGGCGATCGCCGGTGAGCCGTGACGAGACCGCAAAACCCTAGCTATCGAGAAAGAACAGAGACAAGTTTCATATAAATGCATGGCGGCATTAAAGGAAGGATCTTGGTCAATCGCCAAGAGGTTGAATCGCCGAGCTCGCTCTTATCGACCACCCATGGAGCTGTCTAGTGCTCGCGTTGATAGCTTTCACGTCCACCATAGCCCGAGCAACGATCCCCCTGCTGCGTTTGAGCACCAAAACTTTGCGAGCTCTCGCCCCCGGATCCTCCAAGTGCTGCTGGAGCTCTGCGTCTCGGTGACGCTCGAGCGCGGGGACTCGGCTGAGGTCGCAAGTTTTCCCAGTAAAGTCCTCCTGTAGATCACGGAAGCTGGTAGAGAGGGGAACTAACCATCTGGTTGAGAAAGTTTTTGTTGGTGAAGATGGTCCCCTCGCGCGTGCAGATTATATCCGCTGGAACGCGAAGTGAGAACTTTCATATAAATGGATATGGTAGCATGTAACTCTATACATTAGAGTGGGGTTATGATGGCTTTCACGTAAGCATCGCGTCCACCATAGCCCGAGCAACGATTTTCCTGCTGGCTTTGAACACGAAGACTTTGCCAGATCCTCCAAGCGCTGCTGGAGCTGCCTCTGGGTGACGCTCGAGTGCGTGGATTCGGCTGAGCTTCACTGGTTGCAAGTTTCTGTAGGTTTCCCCCCTGTAGATCACAAAGAAGCTAAGTAGAGAAGAGAACTATGTTTCTCGCTACTGAGAAAGCTCTCGGGCGTAGCGGCGGCGGCGGATGGAAGGCCGTGGAGATTATATCCACTGGAACGTCGTCGCTTCCCCGCTGGGATCTGCTTCTCGTGATCTGGGACAATGCAAGCGAGCGGTTTCTCTCGATCAACCGCTCTGAAAGAATTCAGCTGCCATGCTAGATAGAGAATTTCCTTCTCGAAAACCAAAAGTCCCGGAAATTCAGATATCACAAATTGTTTTGTCTCACTCCTACTAACGCTCTCCTGCTAACAGAAAAATAAACCTCATCACACACAAGAATCCCGAAGGATCTCAAAGCAAAGCAGACACCAAGAACGCCGAACGATGGTTGACGAGTGAAAAACCCTACCACCTCTCATCAAAGATTCCAGAACAAAGAGAGAACTTTCGTATAAATGCATGGCGGCATATAGCTCTATACATTAAAGAAAGGATCTTGGTCAATCGCCAAGAGGTTCTTTCTCTCGCGCTTTGGTTCGAATCGCCGAGGAGTCTCTTCTCGCTCTTATCGACCACCCATCGAGCTGTCTCGTGCTCGCGTTGATAGCTTTCACGTAAGCATCAATCTTCTCCTCGTCCACCATAGCCCGAGCAACGATCTTCCTGCTGGCTTTAAACACCAAAACCTTGCGAGCTCTCACCCCCAGGTCCTCCAAGTGCCGCTGGAGCTGCCTCTCGGTGACGCTCGGGCAGAGCTCCGACAGGAAAATGCAAGGCTCGTCGATGATGGAGGAGCGCTTGAGCTTTGCGAGTGAGAGTGACGGAGCCATCGGGAGTCGCATTTCCTTCTGGAGCGATTTTTTCAGCATTTGGAGAGCATGGATTCGGCTGAGCTTTTCTGGTTGCAAGCTTTCCCAGAAAATTCCTGTAGATCGCAAAGTTGCTAACGAGGAGAAATGAGTTTCTCGTTACCATCTGGCTTGAGAAAGCTTCTGCTGGTGAAGATGGTCCTCTCAGGCGTGCAGATTATATCCGCTGGAACGTCGTAGCACATCATCTTCTCCACTGGGATATCATCCACAAGCTGCTTCTCGTGAACTGGGACAAATGCTAGTTGCTTTTTCGTAAAACGAACACAAATGCAAACCTGTTGTGACCACCGGGGTTGAGCTGTCTATGGCTTCCATGTAGCGAAGCAATGCGTAATTCAAGTCCTCCAGGCCCTGAAAGAGGTAAAGTTGACATTGCATTTTCTCTCTTTCTGTTTTTTTTTTTTTTTCACCTGGCCGTCACCGATACGAGCTCCAGTTTTTGGATCGACAGCCACGGATCCCAGAACAACGAGGTCCACCTCAAATGCTGCCTTTGGACTGAGCTGCAAAGGTTTAGTTGGAAGTCCAAGCTCTACACGCACCGCAGTTAAAGATCTTCGAGAGAAGAGCGAGACTACCTTCGTCTGTGAGAGCATCCAACTCTTCTTGAGTCATGTCGTTTGGATCGACCTCGGCCAGGAATTCCTTGACAAGCCTTCTGAGACAAGGAACAATAAGCTTCTTCCTCTCTGCAAAGGATAAAAAGGAGTAGTGGCTTTTAGTTTGCTATGGTTGTAAGATTCTTACCTCTCAGAGTCATCAGCCTCACGGGTGCCTGCGCGACCTCTGGGCCAACGTTGACGACTTTGGCATCGCGAAATGCAGATAGCTCTCCTAGCTCAAGAGCACAAAGGGGGGAAAAAAATAAGAGAAGAGAACCAAGTCATCTCGATTCACAACTCACAAACCTTGTGCGCTGCGATCGCTGCGCCTTCGAAGTTTGGAGTCCTGTTCTTGGGACTCTTGACGACCCTCTGGCCCGCGACCAAATCCCAAACCTTCTTCCGGATTGTCCACTTCCAGGCGTCCTCGGCGCTCGGCCTCTCTGATCTTGGCCTCCTCCCGGAAAAATTTCTGGAAATCGTCAACAATGCCGGTAGCGCCCGCCTAGTCTCTCCGCGCGGCGACGAGATCCTGACGCGCATCTCTCCAAGAACCCTTCCTAAAGCCCTAAAGGGACCTAGTTTTAAAAAATAACGCGGGGACTTATTGGAAGTATAAAAGAGTGTCAAATTTCTAAGGAGAAATCCAAGCAAGGACGAGGAGCCCATTGGAGTGCTAGAAAAAATTCCCAATGGAGAGCGGCTGGGACAAGAAAACCACGCTGCCAAGCAAGATCAAGGCCGAAAAGAAACGCCTTCCACCAAGGAGGACGATCAAGAAGGAAGCTCTCGTATCGTTGATAGCTTCCATAGCTCATCCATTCTTTCACGTCTTCGACCACCGCAACACTGCTGTGAATCCCTGCGAGGACGAGGACGACGATCCAAGTAGATATCTTCGACTTGCTTAGAAGAAACGCGTGCCTCGGATCCTTTGAGCCGCTACTTGCTGAGCCACCATACACGGGTCTGGAGGTGGCTCCTCTTCCTTGGTGTATTTATCCCTCCTGGCTTTCATGATCCAGCCTTTGAGCTTTGTGTTGTCGATCGCGTTGACGCATTTCTCCACGTCCTATCACTGCTCGAGCAACGTTTTACCCGGTTCCAGTCCTGTAGAGCGACAGCTCCTCCGGCGCTAATCCATGCTGCTCCAAGTGACTTGAGCTCCTGCTCCGTGAGAACGGGATTGAGGCTTTTGATGAAAATCGCGGGTGGGAGCTATGAGCGGTGGATCTGTCTTTGGAGCCATTTCCACAGCGGCCTCTCGCTTCTTCTCGACTGCGTCATTGAGCTCTCGCAGGACGGGCATCTTGCTGAGCATAAGGCGTGGCACACTCCCATAGAATACCTTGCAGAAAAAAAATCAAAGAGTGACAACAGTAGTGAGAAGAGTTGTCACGTTATCATCACTTGGCTTTGGGATTTTAGTCTGGGTGTAGATGGTCCTCTTTGGGGTGCATATAACATCCACTGGAACATCGAGCTTGTCGTTGACATGACGAAGATCCATGTCAGAAAAGATTTTTTCCCTTTGAAAGATCCACGGACCTAAGACGAGCTCGTTTCTGTGGCTGGATCAGCCTCATGTGTCTTCTTCTGGTTGTTGCCATGGCTATGGTGTGTTCACTTTGAGACGATGAAAGCCTTGGATGCGTGCTACGATTTTTCATGTTTTAGATGAATCAAATACTGTTGATCCAGCCTACAATCGCAGCTTCTTGCTACTGCGCTACACAACAGATTTTTGGATGATTTCCTTTTTGGTTTTGGATCGTCGTCGAAGACGAGCTCCTAAGGTATGGCGTCTCCGGTTTCCATCGTCGAAGGGAAGATCAAAGAAGCCCAAGAAGCACTAGTCAACAACGGATGCCAAGGAGCAGCAGACTCTGCTGGAAAAAGGGAGCCAGCTGGGAAAGTACAAGCTGCTGCTGCGCAGGAAGAAGCTTCTCTTATTGAAGGAGATGGAACTGGAGAAGGAGCTATCGAAGCTCATTCCTTGGGGGGGACTGACTCCTGAATGTGCCCTGTAAGTTTAGTGACAAGAGGGCGATTTATATTCGCCCTTGAAAACCTTGTTTCACAAGGTTTTCAACTCGGAGTACACGTTCACTCACATCTCTGGCAATCCGGGCATCGGCAAGTCATGTTGTTTGTGGTACTTTGTTTCACGGCTACGCGAGAAGGGTTGTAGTGCAGCTGGTGGCACTAGAACACTCCTACTTCTATTATTTCGATCCTAGTGGCAAGTGTTTCGAGGTACCCGACCATGACATGAAGCACATTTGTGGAGTGGAGTTTGTCTCCTCGTGGTGCCTGAGGTCTTTTATCAGTCCCAGCTGAATAAGTGACTGGAGCTCGTCAGCAAAACCAAGTTCATTCCAACACTTGCTGCAGCCGCTAGAGGTGTCTTTGACGACTTCGCTCATTCCATTCTAAGTAGAGGAGGGAAGTTCCCGTTGGCCGATGGTAGCACGATCACCCTTCCACCAGCAAGAATCAAGCATCACTATGGCAACAGCTTCCCTTTTACCACCATGGACATGGACAAGTATGTTCTTACTCCGAGCCAGAACTATCCCCTCGTGGATGCGTTTGGTGGTGAGTTTGAGTATCTGCTTCAAGTAACTTCCTCCAAGAGTAAGTCGCTCATGTGAAGTCCGATTATGATTCGTTGGCTTACAAGTGCAGACTGCTTTGTGGGAAGGAGCCTATCTTCCTAGTAGTCACTCCAGAAGGCAGCTCTCAGATGCCGTATATCAAGCTCAAGGTACCTTTGAAGGATGAAAGTGGGAATGTTTTGCGTACACCTAAAGGGCGGGTCTCTTATTCAACGGAGAACTTGGAAGCATTGGCATCATCTGGTTCTCCCTCGACCTGAGACAGCAGATGCTGTTCATCATTATCGCCTGAAGTTGGAGGAGGTGATGGAAGATATGGGGCTTGCTGCAGAGCAGGGGCAACCAGTATTTGGAGAAGAGGAAGGAGCCTGTCTAAAATGTGGGCAGTCTGAAGGGTGTGATGTGTGCCAGAGTTGGTATCACTTGTCAATATTTGTTTATCAAAAAAATTTGAGTTGTTCTGGTTTACTTGATTTATCAGTTCGAGCTGAATAACCACATGGAAGGGACATGTGAGTTTAGAGGTGATATGGAGGAAGAACTTGTTGTGGTAACAACTTAAATGAGAATGTTAAATTCCCAGATTGGTCGCTGGCTGTAGGTGTAGAAGTGTGTACCACACAAACTTGTGAAGGATCGATCAAAGAGGTTGTTAAAGGCTTGTGAGGTGGCAGAGTTGTAGGCATGTCTCAGAGTTGGAAAATAAGTTATATGACCTGGCGCTAAAGGACAAAGATTTAGTTTCCTAGATTATGTTATGCCTTCTATTAAGGTTCTTCATGCTGCAAATGTTGCAACTTCTTAATATCTTCATTAAAAGATTGGCCATTTTTTTCTTTTATTAATTGTTCTTCAGTTCTGGACACGAATGGGAAGTAATAGGGAATGATGGTTAAGCTAAGCCTTACCCCACCCCTCAAGGATTCTACATTTAACAGTGTTTCTTAGAACATGCTCTAGAGTAAAAAGTGTTTTATTGCTTATAAGCATCTTGAATATGCTTCATTTGATTGTTTTTGAGGCCCTAGCAAAAATACTTGTGCAATTGCCAATCCATCACTAGTGAAGGTCTAAATTATATTGCAAGTTTTTTTCTTTGCTTTCTAGCTCATAGCTTGTTTAATAGTTGACTTCTATTTAGACTTAAAAATCTTTTGCCAAACTTCACCTCAAACCAATTTAAGCTTACTACAAGTCCCTTTAAATTGATAAAGAATTCCTCCTTATTAAAGTTCCATCAAACCTAGTAAACCCTTGTGCCATAGTAATCCCAGCCCAAAGCAAAGTACCATAATCAATCCATCTATTTACTTCTTTGTTTGTGAACAATGTGGCAAGCTAATCTTGATTCTCATCAAGGTTATCTCCTTTGAAAGCTAGAAGTTTAAACTTCCTGGAAATGCTTGAATCTTTCTACCTTGGAAGTTGAAAATTGGGCATTCCCCAGAAGATTTGAGGTGGGGGTATTGTCAGCCTATGAGCTATAGTCAAGCCAAACATATTATTGTAAATTGCAGAGACATGCAAGTCCTTGGCTTGGTAGACACTTAGATACCTATTCAGTATAGTCTGACCATAACATTAGTTCCTCCATCATTGCCTCGAGATACCTTTATAGTATCTCCCCTTCTTCCATATCAACATAGGCTCATGCAATACTTCCTGCAATTACAAAACCACTATATGTCAATCTTGGATAGTAGCCACCTCATTCTTCCTCATTTCTTGAACTTGTTAAATCACTTTGTGGCGAGGATCGTGAAGATTCTCACCTAAACTGTCAGAATCCACTGACATTCATAGATTGCACATGAGATAAACCATTTCATCGAGATTCATGGCATAGTTGAAAGGAACTTCGAGTATGTTGAAGGTGCCATCTTGACCTTGAGCTCCTCTAAAGAATGGTGAGAATCTTTCCCACCTACGTCCGAAATAAGGTCTTCCTTAGTAGAAAAATGTGAAGCTATCTCAGAAAGATTTATCACCACCACCTCACCACCCAAGTCTTGGCCTATCCTAATTTTGATCCTCCTACAAAATCTCATACTCAAAGAAAACTTGCTCTTTCCCTTTTTCTTGATCTTGGGCATGTCCTCCTCGCTCTTGAACTTCAGATATACCCACACCACCCTCTTGAGCATTTTTTCCTTTAGCATTAGCTGGAGATGCTACCACTTGTGTCTTTCCTTGGGTGCACTCCTCCTCCTTAACAATACCAACCCAATTCCACTTCTTAACCTTTGCAAAAGATTCATCCGGTTTTAAACTAAATCCACCATTGGCTATCTTCCTACATTCAACTTTTCAAGAAGATGCTACAATGGTATTGGGTTAAAAATCAACAAAAGAAATTTACACTTTAAAATCTAATTCTCTCCCCATATACAAGAATTGTCACACAAAATCCTTTGATAACAAAGGTGCAATAAATAAATTTGTCACTCAAGCCACATGATATGGAATATTTAACATGTCAACCTGATAATGCTTCCCTAATCTCTCTTTGGTTGCTCTCTACTTGCTAATGGTGGCCTCATGATGTGAAACAAGCTACACATGACCTTGCCTCGCAATACACTATAAATGCCAACATAAGATTTCCAGACACACTCACTCCAAGGTACTCGAGATATTGATAGAAACATATTTATTGTTTAAACAAAAGAACCCACATTCATAAAACAAACATGCGCACACTTCAATCCAAGCCATCAACTACCCTAATCTTATACACCAAGCACATAAGTTTGAACTACAATATTGCACTTTGAGGATACAGTAGAGATTCATAATATTGAATCTTAATGAAAAGAATGGAGCATTGAAAGAGCAAGTAAAAAATGATATATGGATAGATGTAAAAGAATTTATAATAACATTAGCACAAGAATTGAAGAATCAATTCACAAAGGTAGATCATCAACTCACATTTTTAGGGAGGAAATTAACCGACTAAGGTGGTGGTGTCCGACGAAATAACAAGTGCTTAAAATGTGATGGCAATTAATGGGCTCGAAATTGTCTAATAAACCAACATCTGGCCACCAATCATACTATATATATTGAAGAAGGTAATGTAGAGCAAACTGAGACAACAATGGAAGATTCTACTACAAGATTTTTGGATTTGGATGCTAAAGAAGAAGATATTATTGGGATATCTAGATTGCAATAGAATCTCTCTTTCTTTCACTTATTTATTTATTTTGTTGCAATTTGGATATCTCAATAGCATTTTCTTCTCCAGCATCTAAATCTAAAGATCCTAGAGTAAAATCTTCTATTGTTGTCTCAGTTTGCTCTACATTACCTTCTTCAATATATACAACATGATTGATGGTCGGATGTTGTTGGTTCATTGGATAATCTTAAGGCCATTGGTTGCCATCACATTTTAAGCATTTGTTATTTCGTCGGACACCACCACTTTAGTCGATTAATTTCTTCATGAAAAATGCAATTTTCTATTAAAATAGATGCAAAATAAAAAGTGAGAGAAAGAGAGAGAGAGAGAAAAAAAATAAGGAGAAAAAAAGTGAGAAAAAAAAGATGACATATAGCACAAAACTAGTGATTGGCTATGGGGATCTTATTGATCTTGCAATACTCAATGATGGATCCTTTTATGTAGAAGATCATGATTTTGCAAAGGTTGTTGGCAAAATGTGAAATCCTTTATAAGAATCTCACAGCGATTTGCTGATATCCCATCTGAGGGATCCAAATTTGGCCATAGGTTGTAGGGTTGATAATCATGGCAACCCTACTCACCCAGGTTACACCACTTACCTTTAAGGATGGACTAAAAGTCAAGGTTAGGGAGATCTTCACCCAGGTAGAGTCAAAAGATTTTTGTAGTGGATGTATGTGATCGCTATAATAGCCTTGAGATGGAAAAGTTATGTAAGGCAATGGTTGTCTTTATGGGAGGATGCTCATGGAGGAGCTACGATAGGGATTCCTTTGACTATGCAGTTCTACCATCGGGTATGCCAAGATGTCTTATAGTAGATAGCATGAAAGATTGTTAACTAGTTTGAGTTCCTTGATAAGTGGTTTTCCCAATTGTGGGGGAATATGGGACATGTTGGGATTTTGACATAGGATGCAATTATCTAGAAGCTAGTGAAAGCTAGAATTCAACAGATCTTAGAGAAGTATAGATTATAGGTGTGGGGAATGGATAAGGACTACCCTCTTACATGGATATATGGAACCCATATGCTAGTAGAAGCATCTCATGCAAATATAAGATACCAAAAAGATGTCATCTTTGAGTTACTAGTGGAAAATGGGCAGGTGAAGAATCATCTTGACCAGGTAGAGGCTCATAATGAAGATCGCTTGCATGCATGCATTAGTGAGTTAGAGCAGAAGATCAAGGAATCAGCAGTTCAAGTGAGGGAATCTCAGAAAGTTAGGCAAGTATGTGATGCCTAGATTGAGAAGGTGTTCACTGCAGAGCATCAAACTGAGCTACTGGTGAAGGGAACATGGGAGTTTGAGAGGCAAATATTAGAGACAAAGATGCTTCTTTAGGTATTTATGCAGAAATTAAGTATAATAAAAGGAAGGAAGTAACTAAGAATGAGTGTTGGCATCAATAATGAAGATGCTTAAGGAAGGCTTCTAGAGATGAAGAAAGCCATGGAAGGCACTAAGAAGGCATTGCTTGATGCTTATACCTTCTTTGTTTCTAAGATTATGACACAGGTTGAGGAGATTGATGCTTAATTAGATGATAAGGGGCCAAGTGGTGAAAATGCCAATGAACAATCCATGAGTGAGGGAAGTTTGGATAGGTTTTAAGTGGTGGCCATTGAGGCTAGGATTAGTGCACAAGGGGCCAAAGATAAAAACCGAGCATGCAATAGTAGAGAACATAGTAGGGGATCATGTCCAAGTAACAAGAGTTGTGGATGCAATTCTGAAGAATCCTTCAAAGGTGGTTTCCTGTGAACTAGTTCCAGGGTGTGAGACATAAATCCCTTAGCCCCAAAGTGGAGCCAAAAAGATGCCACATAATAGTGGTCAAAGCAGAAGTCTAACAAACATAATATATTTGGACCAAAGGCTCTGACTTGGAAAGTCAAAAGTGGGAGTGGAACTTCGAATGAAGTGTTTAAGGGATGAACATGAAGCAATCAATGAATAAGTCCCTAAAAAGAGACACAAGAAGGATTGATACATGGCAAGTGTCGTGACACATGGAAGTGTCAGGAACGAGTCCGAAAAAGAATCTGAGATAGAGTCCGAGAAAGAGCCCGAGATTGGAGTCTGAAATGGACCCGAGATGGAGTCCAAGATGGACCCAAAATAGAGTCCCAAGTCGAGTTCGAAATGGACTTGAGATGGAGTCTGAGGTCGAGACTGACATCGGCACCAAAATTGAAACCGAGACCAAGACCAAGTCTGAGTCTAAGTTTGAGTCCAAGTCTAAGGGTGAAAGCCCAAAGCGATTATCT